CCCTTTCCTCGGAATTGGGGACTCCCAGGTCCCTTCGTCCGGCAGCCGCATCCTCTCTGTCTCCGCTCCAAGCTGCCGGAGGAAGGGCTGGAGCAGGGCTGGGAGAACAGGGCTGGGAGCTCGGAGGTCTCTGCTCTCGGAGCTGGGGACTCAGAGGTCAATTCTTCTCGAGTAGGGAACTTGGAGGTCCCTTTTCCCGGAGCTGGGGGCTCAGAGGCCGCTTCTCCCAGCAGCGACATCCTCTGTCTCCACTCCAGCTGTCACCGATCCCAGCAGCTCATCCCACCCGAGGGACGGGGCCGGGCTGGTGCTGCCCCACCTCCCTCCTCGCAGCCAGAGGAGAGGAGTCCCCTCCACCGCCTCCCAAACATCTCTGGCAAAGCGTCCCTTTGGCTTCCACCGGGGAGCAGAGCCGGGAATCCTCTCGTCAGGATGGAGAGAGAGCTGGAAGGAAGAGCAGGACAGCTGGAACAGGCACTGCCTTATCAGCCCCAGGCAGAGGTGGCCGGCGAGGCTCTGCTGAAGGAAAGCTCTTTACCCAAAGCAGTTGGGTTTGCTTGAAATAGGTTAAAATTGAATGGGAATAAGTTGCTTAAAGGACAGAAAACGGGAGGCAGATGCTGCTCCTGAAAGGAGTTTCCAGCTGTTGCATTAAGTGAATGAAATTTGGCTGAAAATAAACCCTGTTGTGTCCCAAGGGATCAGAGGGGCTGGGGGTGGCTGGGCTGAATCCCTGGTTGTATCTAATTAGGCACAAGAGGTCTGGTCGTGTTCAATAAGAACCTTCTCGATCACAGATTCACAAATATGGGGTTTGCTGAAGGAACAAAAACACGGACTCAGAATGGCCCAGTCCTCTTCTCCTCCTCCTCCTTTACATATAGCACAGTCTGGGGGGAGAGCTGAGCAGTGGAATCATGTATGTGGCAGCAGGTACCTCATTAAGCTGATTGGGGGGGGTGTTTTGCTATTGAGATCACCCTTACTGGGCAAAAGTTATTTTCTGGTCTTTGAAGTTCCAGTCCTATGATTTTGTTTTGCAGAGCTGGTCACACCTCCAGGGAGCCGGGGGATGAAGGCTGAGGAGGAGGAGGAGGAGGAGGAGGAGGAGGAGGCAGCACTTCTCTCCCAATATCCCGTTCCTCCTGGGGGTGATGAGCTCAGCACTGCCCTGTGTGGGACAGTGGTGGCACTCGGGCACTGCCACCCTCGGTGTCCCGCAGGGTTGGCTGCTGGCAGCTGCCCTTCCCACCCCCAGCCACCCCATTCCAAGGAAAACTCCCCGTGGTGAAGGTCACACTGCCACCCTGGGGACCAGGTCCCAGAGGGCCACCAGGTGTGAGAGGCAGGGAAAGGCACCGTCCTGTCACGGGCTCCGGGGTCACCACCTGCAGCCAGCACTGGAAAACTGTTCCCTGGGGGATCAGCTCTGGCTCTTCTCCCCCGTGGGACTCGGATCCATCTTCCCAGGGACCTGCTGCCACCAGAGGGAAGTGGCTGTGAACTGGAGAGCCCAGGGTTGCAGAGCTCTCTTGGAGTCCCCATCCATTTTTCCTCCCTCACCTTCGGAGGTGGGAAGAGGAGCTGAGTCCCTGCCCTGTCCCCCTCCCCCCCGTTGCAGCAGAGTGGGGTGGGATCATCCCTGTCCTCCTGTGGGGCTGCTCTGGGATGTGCCCCAGCTCCTGGTGACACTGGCACCGCTCCCAGCTCGGGGCCAGGGCAGTGAGCTCTGTGATGGCCCCACAGCAGCGCCAGGACCTGGACTGGGGGCTCCCCCTGGTTCTGGGGCAGAGCAGCCCCCCATCGAGTCCCCCATCCCACAGTGGGCAGTAGGAAGGAGGGAGCAGAGGGAGGCCTGGGTGTCCCAGACTCTTTGTCAGAGCGTGTGAGCACCAATGCCAGGAGCTCACTGCCCTGGGATGAGGCCAAGCCTCCTGGGAAGCAGGTGCTCTGCAGCCTTTCCCAGTCCCCCACCGCTGTCCCTGGACAGTGCCATCCCTGGGACCCCTGGAGCCCCCAGCTCTGCCCATCCTGCTCACCCAAGCCAGGCTCCCTCACACACAAGGGCTGGGTGCATCCTCCCCTCCGCAGTGTCACCCCCAGTACCCCCCAATCTGGGGGGCCAGTCAGGGCTTTTCTCCCATCCCTGTTCCCCCCATGAGGGATCCCAACTGCCCCGGTCCCACCAGCCCCTCTCCCCACCCTGCAGCCCTGCAGCTGCATTCCAGGCCTGCAAAACTTACTGGAAATCCTGTAGATGCAAATCCTGGCCTCCAATCCCTGCCAGGAACTTGAGCTGCAATCCCGAGAGGGCAGCAGGCTCCGGGCGCTCTGGCCTCCCCCTCGCCATCCCCCAGCCTCGGGAATCCTCCTTAAAGTCTCCCCAGAGTGGGGAACACCAGTGGCTCTGTGGGACCCCCACAGCTGGGGGCAAGCGAGGGGCAAAGCCGGCAAATCCTGGGATGGCTTCCCAAAACCTCCGCCGGTTCTGACAGCTGGTGCTGTGTTGATTCAGACTCCCTGGCTCCCCTCCAAAACCTCCCAGCTCCAGGCTCCATGGAAGTTCCCAGCGTTTGGGCAGGTGGGGAGGTGTGGATGGGACCTGCCCACTGCGTGCAGAGCCCCACAGCCCCGGGAATGAACCACCTCCCACCTGCCCTGGGTCACCTCCAGCAAGTGCCCACCTTGGTCCGAGTCCTTTCCAGGTCACCTTAACCCTGCCCCCTCCACAGCCCCGAGGCTTTAATCAATCCCAGGTGAAACCTAAACCTCCTCCCGAGGGGAATACACTGAACAGAACGCAGCAGGATGAAGGTCAGGAGCATCTGCTGGGGGGTGAGACGATGCTCAGGGGGCTGTGTCCCCTTGGGGAGCACATTTGGGGGGGGCTGCAAGGGTTAGAGTTGGAGGGGAGCACGGAGGAGACGTGGGTTCTCCAAAGGTGTGAGAGCACGTGGACGCTGCCAGGATGGGGTGTTTGCCTCTGGCTTGCTTGGAAAGGGAGTTCCCAGCAGCCTGTCTCAGTGTCCCTGCTGTTGGTGGGAGGCTGTGTGGAGCCGAGGGGAATGAGGTGGGAGAGCCAAGGGCTGTGGGTGTTGGCTGGGAGAACTCGGAGCCTGGCTCAAGGCTGAGTCCGTGGAGGGTGGGTGGGTGTGGATGTGGGATGCTCCATCTCCTCCAGGGATGCTCCAACCCGTGTGGGTTGGGTGGCTCACTCTCACTCTGGGATGTGTTTGGGATGCGGTGTGGGGTGTGGGATGCGGTGTGGGATGTGGTTTGGGATATGAATCGTTTTGGGATGTGGTTTAGGATGTGATGTGGGATGCAGTTTGGGATGTGGTTTGGGATGTGATTCGGTTTGGGATGCAGTTTGGGATGCAGCTGGGATGTGGTGTGCGCTGCTCACTCCTGGGATGCTCCACACCCGCAGCAGGACACCCCCAGTCCCCAGAGACCCCGCGGGGTCCCCTCACCGGACCGGGGGGTGCCCGCGGCTCACCCACCCCCCGCCCCATCCCCTCCACCCCCGGGGGGTGCCGCCGCCTCTCCCGCATCCCCGCATCCCCCTCTCGGCGCCCGCCCCGTCCCGCGGAGCCCCGGGGGCGGGGGCCAGGTACGGCGGGGCGGGCCGGGCGGGCGGGGGAGGCGGCGGGGGAGGGCCCGGCGGCGGCGGCGGGCAGCTAAAGGCAGGTGGCCCCGGG